ACGAGGTGCCACCAGCTCGAGGGGAAGGCGCGGCCACCCCCATTGCTGGTGGTATTGGTACTTTTTTCTCTCCTGAAAGGTGCTGCGCGAGACCACGTGGTTCGCGACCGCAGTGTATTTTCCGCGTATGTGGCAGGGACTCACGGGTGTATGCCTGTGTGTGTCGACCGCGGAGAGCACGCGCCGTTCAAAGGAGAACGGCATGGTCGAGAACCAGCGGCGTATGGGAGGCATCGAGACCCCAGAGTGGATGGCGTTCGCTGTATACTTCTACCCTGGCTTGGTATTCTGCAACTTTGATGGTTTCAAAGATCCAGCCGCGCAGTATCTGGGCACACTTGCGGAAGTATTCAATCGGCTGTGCACCCAAGCTGGTATAGCGAACTGGAGTTCGCACGTATTCGTCCGACCCGGCGGCTGGGTGTATGCTGGCTTGCGCAGGCTGTTGCAGCTCCTGCGTATTCACGTGCATTCCGAGGTGGTATCAGGTCTGTCATACAGGCGCATGGCGAGCCTGGATGTATTTGTGGCAACACACACGGCATCCATGGGCATGGAGCCGCCATGTATGGCTCTGTGGAATGCCTCCCACGACGTCAAGGATGGTATCACCTTGTTCCCGAAGCAGGATCATTGGTGGCACATGCCTGTATGGCGTTCTTTCGGGCAGTCCGAGTATGGGAATGTCATGGATTACCGTGTGGATCTGGGCATGCCGGCGCATGTCCAGGGCGTCCTGGCGGTATTGGCGCCCCACGGACGCACGGGCGATGTGTCCGCGAGGAGGCGTATCGGCACCATGCTGGGACACTTGGCCCCTGATGTATGGGTGCCAGGAGCGCAGCTTGCAGTATTGCGCCCGATGCGTGCCATTAGGGACAGGCGCATGCCAGAAGACGATGAGCACACAGACTCGTCTCTTTAGTATGCTTCCAGAGCACGTATGCGTCCGCCTCGCCTTGTCCTGCTGCTCCTCCTCCTCCTCCTCCTCCTCCGGCGGGGCACCCATGGGGGACAACCATCGGGACCACCATCGGAACAACCATCGCGGCAACCATGGGGACAACCATCGGGACAACGATCGGGACAACCACAACCATCAGGACAACCATCGGGACAACCATCGGGACATCCATCGGGACAACGATCGGGACCACCATCGGGGCAACCATCGGGAGAACCATCGGAACAACAATCGGGACAATCATCGGGACACTCATCGCGACAATTATCGGGACAACCACAACCATCAGGACCTCCAACCAGAGAGAGGTAGTCACGTGTATTTCGTCGACGAGTGAGCCAGTATTGCACATTGAGGCCGGAACGAGAACCACAGAACAAGAATGAGCATATATCGTCTCACAACAACGGAAACAAGTCCTGTGGTATGCTGGCGCCACGCACGTGATACCAGTCAAAATAAGGGTCTTGGCTTGTGTGGTACAGAAACGTTAAAACGTCGGAAAACGGTACACGTGCCCATTGTTGGAACAGGGGTATAAGTCGTATACTAAGCTAGTTTCCACAAGATGTTACCACAAGAAGTCATTGTAACCATGCGCCAGTGTAGTAGCCAAGGTCGTCCGCAGGCCACGAAGTGAAGTGTCCGAACGTCATAGGGCGGGAAGCTGGGTGTGGGTGGTGGCGAAGAGTCGTTTGGAAACTTGGTAGAGCTTGAACCGGCCCCCCCACAAAGTGGGGGTATTGCCCGCCTCCTATGAAAACCCTGGCACTGGTGAGAACGGAGTGTCCCCAGTCTTAAATGATTGTTGTTGTTGTTGTTGTTGTTGCTGTTGTTGTTGTTGTTGTTGTTGTTGTTGTTGTTGTTGTTGTTGTTGTTGTCGTCGTTGTTGTTGTTGTTGTTGTTGATGCTGTTGTTGTTGTTGTTGTTGTTGTTGTTGTGGTTGTTTTAGCGGGAGAGGTTCGCTCTCGCCCCGCAGACCAAAAGTGTGTGTGTGTTGCTGCGTCGCCAGCCTTGTGGCCAGGCGTCCCCGCCACTCCTGGCTGTGATGCGCGCGCCGGCAGGGTTCGGCTCTCCCCTTTCCCGCTTCTCGCCGTCTTGCCGCCGCCAGGGCGTCCCTTGCGAAGGCTGGCGGCTCCTCGCCGCGCTGCGCCACTTCAGTAGTTGGTGCTTTACAGTTCAGCAGCCCCTGGCAGCATTGCAGCTTGGATTCGAAGCCCTCGGCAACTTTGCAGTCGGCAGTCCTGCAGCTCTGCTCTCAGCAGCTCAGCGCGGCAGTGTAGCAGCATTTTGCTGTAGCTAACTGGTCGCTGGCCCATCCCCCGTGGTCGCCTTGCCTTCCCGCATCCCGCTGGCGCCGTACCGCAGCAATGCCTGTCACCCACGGACTCCGGACGAACACCCGGATGCTGCCCGCTTCTGTGGGCTCGCTCGCCGCTTCCCTCTGGTACTGGTTCGTCTACGCTTTCAGTGCCTGCAGCCTTTGCTTCAGCCCCGGGGTGTGGGCGCGATGCCGCTGCACGTCCACTGCCAGGTCGCCTCAGCAACGGCTGGCCGCCCAGGCCACTCCTTCCGAAACGCTTTGTGCGGCGCTGCCCGCTTTCCGCTTCCACACTCTCCCTCCTTCCCCCCACGTGCCGCCGAACAATTAGTACGTCATGCCCCAGGCCACTAGGGCGTGCGTGCGGATTGCCTCTGCCGCGTGGCGACGGAAAACAAGTATTGTTGCGTGTGCTAATGTGTTTGTGCATCTGTTGTGTGTTGTGTGTTGTGTGTATGTATGCGTGTGTGTGTGTGTGCGTGGGTGCGTGCGTGCGTGCGTGCGTGCGTGTGTGTGTGTGTCTCTGTTTGCTGGTGGACCCAGGTTCCCACGCTGTCTTGGTCCTCCATCTTGGGCTGGGTGGCTGCCGTTGCCGCTTCCCTGCTGCGCCCCGTCTGCTTCTTCTGCCCGGCACGGTCGTGCTGTTCTGGTCTTTCCTTGTTCCCCTTTTTTCCCTCTCTGCCTCATTCTGCCCCGTTTGTCCTCCCACGGTATTTCCCCCCGTGGATGTCGTTGTCTATCCGTTGTGGGTAGATCAATCCAGCGTCTCCCCGCCTCCCCGCTGCGAGAGCCGTGCCAGTGCCCGCGCTTTTTCCACCTGTTCTACGCCACGCCGCCGCGCGCGTGGCCGCGACGGCCAAACAGAGTGTGTGTCGGTGCATCGGTGTGTCGGTGTGTCAGTGTGTGTGTGTGTGTGTGTGTGTGTGTGTTCATGTGTGTGTTTGTGTGTATGTGTCTGTGTTTGTGTGTGTGCATCGGCGCCTGGCCGCGTGCGCACCGCCTCCGGCTTCATTCCGCCTCGACGCTGCTCGCGAGGCCGCGACCGCCCAAACTGTGTGTGTCGGTGTGTGTGTGTGTGTGTGGGTGCGCGATGCCCGCGGACTGTGTGGGCCTGCCGGGCTTGGCCCACGGCCCAGCAGTCCCAATCGGACCATCCTCGGTCCCCGCCGTGCTGCCCATCTTCGGTCACCGTCGTGCTGCCCCCGCAGTGATCGCGAGGCCCGCTCGATGGGTTCGCTGCGGTCGCCTCCGTTCTCGGCCCCCGTCGGCGGGCCTCGCCAGCGCGCCGCGTTGGCCCACGCGCCGTCGGCTTCTCTTGGGAGGAGCTCGCTGCCATCGGCTCTGCCATGCGGGGATGGGGGGCCGAGAAGTGGGGAGGGAGGTTGAGGTTACGTTGCTCCCGTCGTACTTCAGGACCACATCCCAGAAATCATTCCGAGCACCCAGAAAAGTGTCGAAACAGTGTCGAACGAGTACCGCCTCCCAGGGCCCGACACGTGCAACCCCTCAAATTTCGGTACCTGTTCCTGGTGCTCGAGATTTCATTTCTGGCGACCAAAGTTAAAGTAGGTTGGAGCATCATAAGGTCGAGGGCGAAGGAGAGGCGTCGTTGGGCGGGCCAAGGTCCGGGATAAAAGTCGCCCCAGAGCTCTTCTGCAACGCTCCCGCAGCGTTTCTCGGGGCCATCCCGCTCCGGCACCTCTGGATCTCAGAGCTTTGTCCCGGACCGGTGTTGTCCCAGGCCTTGCCTGCTCGTGCGTCCGGGAGAATCAATTGGACGTAAGAGTGACCCCTTCGCGGGAGTGACCTTTGGTCACACCAAAGGTCACTTTTACCCAGGGTCATTCTTGCGTGTGACCGAGAGAAGGGAGGGAGTTGTCTTCCACTGCCCGAGCCGGCTCAGCCAGGCGGTTCCAGCAGCAGGCCTCGCTTGGTGAGGCTTCGGGCTGCGAGCAGGTAGCCCGCCCAGGTAGCCCCATCTGGCCTCAATAGGCCTCACGAGAAGTCTGGGGCGGCACTGGAGGCGGCGCCGGGGTGCCGTGACCGCCCCGGACTACTCGGGAGGCCGGAGTTTGTTGAGGCCAGCCGGGGCTGCCTTGGGGGGCTGTCTGTGCTCAGCCCGAAGCCTCCGTCGGCGCGAAAAAGCTGAAACATCGTAGAAAGTCACCGCCAGAACCGTAGACCCCATCTTTCTGCTGCATTTTCTAGCCAGATCGATCTGTGATGTGCCCGGGGCCCGAAACCTACTGAAAACGGCCAGCTCGAAGAAGCTGAGGCGCCCAGATCCCAGGGTCCTGTGAGTGCCTCGATCTCAGACCCCCGACGTCCCGCTTTTTTCCACGTCGACCTGGAGGTCTCGATTCATTCCCAGGGACCGGTTTTCATCCCGACTCATTTCTTGAAGGCTCCGAGGCCCAGTGAGGGCCCCCGAGAGGCCGAAATTCACGAATCCTCTTTGTCCCGATTTTTCCGAGGCGCCGGATCTTTGGGCTTAAGTCGGGCCTGCCCCTCCACAGCAGGAACATTCACAAATAGTAAACAAATTGTCAGGGGGATTTTAAAAAAGTTATTTTTAAATATGTTTAGGGTACTTTTTGGGTGGAATTTCAGTCCTTCGCCCAAGATCCCCCCTGCAGGGGGACAGGCCCGACCTAACCCGGGGCACCGCTCTCTCTCCAGTGCCTCGCTTGGTCGCTGCCTCCCCACCGGCCCCAG